AGTTAAGAAAAGGGCTTTCTTTTTGGCCTTTTTTGGTTTTTTCACAATTTTCAAAAAAAAGGCAATCTTTTTCATAACTGTTTCGGTCACCAGCTGAAACAGCTTTTGTTTTTCAAGTAACATTTTGGTTGTTCAACAGGCTTCGAATGTCATCAAAGTTCCATGAAGCAAAGACCTCAAAGCAAAGATAATACTAATTTAATAATTACATCATGAAGACCTCATCGAGTGATTTATTATTAAACTTTGAACATTTAAAATATTATTGTCAATTTCTAAAAACCATATCAAATCAACCGTGGACTCCCACAACATTCTGTTTGCGGTAAGTGGCAGAGTAAAATTTAGTCTTTGATTCATCTCATGTAGGTCAAATCATGTGACCCTTCCTTCCGATTGAAACCAGAAGTGGGCTTATTATTTAAAAGTGGTAATACATGTAGGTATAGTCTTTGCGGTATAGTATTCTTCAAATCATCTACTGATGACGTCACATAATTGTCAAGCGCCCTTTAGCAACAGGTTAAAAATTCTGAAAAAGGAATTTTGAATAAATGTCAGGGTGAAGTATGTTCGAATGGCCTGAAAATTGAAGTGGATGATAATATTTACTCATTTAACACATGTGAACACGTGTGAAATGTTCATCAGGTGAGAAGTCAAGTACAAGGTGCACTCTTTAAATTGTTTTATTTCTTTAAGTGCATGTCTGATTGGGTTGAAACCTTGAACCCAAATGGTCAAGACGAAATAATTACTCCATCAGGTTTGTGCAGTGATTTACATGTACATGTAGTTGTTCAAATTGCAAAAGAATGCCAAAAAGCCCTCTATCGTGTTGGCAAACAGACAGATGACCTCTAGTTGGCTTTTTTGCATTTTAATTACATCATAATGATGTCATCCAGTGACTTGTTTTAAAATTTTGAATATCTAAATATTGTAAATTTCGAAAACCATATAAAAATCAAACCATGGCCTCCCACAACATTCTGTTTGCGGCAAGTGCCAGGGTCAAATTCGGTCTTCAATTGAGTGCTTCTGGCAACATTTTGAAAAAGTTCAAAAATCTTTTTTGAATAGATGTCTGTGGCGAAGTTTGCTGGAATCAAATGAAAATTAGTAGATACATTGGCCATTGTGCCTGCAACATTTGTGTGGAAATTCAGGCTGATGACGTCATCAGCCCTTAAGTTATGTTGCAAAGACCTTTAATTCATTAAAAATCACTAAGAAATAAAGCCCGACAGCTACAAACTGAAGTTGCTCATTGAAAACTAGAGTAAAGATCTACATCCATTGTCCAAGGTCTTGGGCTTGTCGCATTGTTGATACATGTTGTGCCCTGCTAATAAAAAAAATTGCCATCTGCTGGCAATGCCAGCAACATGACACATATGGGTAAGAGCCATTGCAGTTAGAGCCATTTCCCTTGTACATGAAAGCGTATAATAGAGCCAACGATGTGACACTTAAAGCATGTGAGCGTGTACTGTCATGCTCTGGCAGATTTGTCTCAGGGTGCAGTGTCCCAATGCAAGGAAAATTCTCCGCCAGGCCGAGGTGCACAAAAAGTACCCCCAGAGATTGTTTCGAAAAGAGGGGTCTTTTTGGGCCAAGAAATGGTGGGATTGTGTCAGTATGGCCCAGGATAATCTCTGTAGATTC